ACTAACATTGAGCCTCTCTACTGATTTTCTTATGCTAACTTTTTGTAGGTGATGTGCAGTACTGTTGATGACTTCATGGTATACAACAGCTAATCAGTTGAACTTGAATAGGGAATAGAAAGATAACAATGAGCTTTTCAAGCTTTGGAGATGCATGGATAAAAAAAAAAAAATCTGTGTAGAACACACTGTTCCAAAGAGGGTTACCAAATACCACACTCAACAAATATTCTTCTTCTCTCTCTACCCACTTAAGTGGAAAATAATCAAACTTAACAACAAAGTTTTTCTACTTTAGGAACACAACAATAAATCATCAAGAATAAATTCTTGGATCACTATGTCATAATCATCACCATAATAAAGTTGGAAGTCAAAATCTCCCATCAAATTGGGATAAATCTCACCAAGTGTGCTGAGTATGTTCCAAGAGAAACTGGAGACTTAATCACTGTTGATCATCTGCCAGAACTAACTCCTGTACTGACCTTGTCGATGTTGCAACTCACTTTCACTGTCTTTCTACTGTTCTTGCAATGATGATCAAAACCAGCCACTAGCCATTGTTTAAAGCTCCCCTGACTTGATATATTTCAAAGTCCAAGCCCCATGCCATTCATGTATGAGTTCATGAAGACTTTTCTCAACGCCAAATGTATGGATATATACAACAAAGGAATCCTGAACAACTAAGAAATTGAAATGGTTAGTTAACATAATTTGAGTATGGCATAAATAGTCTAACAATAAGTTCACCTACAACTAATAACTTGGATTTTAACATTCGAATTGTGCACATATTAAAAGATTAAAATGTGACAATGCACCTTGAAATGATTTTTGCATAATGCTGCCTCGAAGCATTACTCCATCCACTTTCATAGATATCCTCAAACTGTCCTTGATTAAGGGAATTGATCAGGGGAAGTTACAACAAAAACTCAGAAAATCCATGTCCTGCAAAAGTGAATTAAAGCTTAGCATTATCTTGATGAAATGATAGAGAATCTCTTCGAACAATTGAGAGATGAGAAGACGAAGCTTGCCTTACCAAAGAGGGCATTCTTTGGAGGGTAGAAGCTTGCTGCTGCAACTATGAATCTATGACAGATCCTGTGAGCACCACCATTTTTCATCAAATTGTTAGATCTTGAAGCTACTTTGCTAGTCAATCCATTTTAAGCAGCAGTTAAAGCAACTTTGTTTGTGCCGTAATCTTGGTTGTGACTTGAGATGAATAAAGAGGAACACAATACACATTGTTGGATCATTCATTTCTGACTCATCATACATTCCAGAAGCTTCACCACTTGCATGAAAGGTAGCGTTAATATCAAAGCATCCAGCTCCTACTTGTTGAAAAAAGAACTTGCCTAAAAAGGGAGGCTTGAACTTGGAATCTTGGATCAATCACCTATTAACTAATCCTGTAGTTGACTTGAAAACAGCAAAGGGTTTAATCAGATGCTGTAAGACAAAAACAGGACAAGAACTAATTATAAGTTGGGTGTTACACAGTTTCAAGGAAGCAGACACTAAAATTATGGGAAATGTGATGATAAATAAGAACAAGATGGGGGGAGGGCCAAATAAGGGAACATCTAGACACTAAGTTGGACTAACTTCTTGATATCTACCTAATTTCCATGCACCAGAATCAAAATTAAGATAAAAAAATACAAATATACAAATAGTTGGTAACACAAATACAAGAGAAAACCAGAGTCAATTATATCATCAAAATGTATCACTTTGCAGATGATGAATAGAGATATCATGACATATAATTCTTCAAAATATATCACTTTTTGCTTATCCTAAAAATTAACACAACCAAGAGAAATGGGTAGCATGATAAAATTTTAGACAGGTTATTTGTTTACTCACAGAATATGTAGCTTGACATGGTCAGATTACAAGATTGTTTAATTTAGCAATGATGATATCCATTTTCCAGTTCCAGCTAGCGGAAAAATCTAATTGGTACAGAGGCCAATCTAGATGGAAAAACACCATAGGAAAGGAGGGTACCATTGAGAATATCCTTCTAAATCAAAATTCAATTCTTGTTCCAAAACTCTCCCCAATTCTTCAAAATGGAAAACATGAGGTTCTGTAGTAATGAATTCAAAATTCAAATGGGCTGGCTTGCCTAAGAACCTCATTTTGCAACTTGCAAGCTCGTTCGTGGTTGTGGCTTTATCAATATAAACTGAATTTAGAGCATACAGAAAGCATCAATTGTAACATAAAAAAGAAAAAAGGGATAAGTGAACTGCAAAAATGAAATCAAAGTAAAATTAATAACACAAAGCTGTAGAAGTATATATAATCTGGAAAAAAAATTGAAAAAATTGCAAAATAAATGACAGAAATTAGTCAATCTTTAATGCAACCAATATATATTAATCAAGAGAAGGGAGCAATGGGAAATAATCATTTAATTCCAAGGCAGCTAACGTTATAAATAGTAGAGAAATATATTAGTATATCATTAAAATGTATAATTTTGCTCAAGTAAAATCAATTGTAGAGAGAGCCTAACATATGAATTTTGATTCCTTGTCCTAAACAATAACAATAGCAAAGCAAATAGGCTTCACAATAAAATTTTAAAGAGGTAATTTGGATACTTACAGGGTAAGTTCTACTTTCCCAAATAAAAAACTTGTAAAACTGCAGCTTGATTTAGACAAATTACAAGCTTATATAATTCAGCAAAAGCCATCTGTGTTTCAGTTCCAGCTTACAAGCTTGTTTAATTTGGAAACGGTCATCTACGTTCTAATTCCAGCTTACAGAAAATCTCATTTGAACATCAGCACCTGCTTGTTTCAAAAGTCTTCCCAATTCTTCAGAATGGAGAACATGAGGTCCTGCAATATTGAATTTAAAATTCAAATTGGTTGGCTTGCCTAAGAACATCACTTTGCAAGCTCATTGGTGGTTGTGAATTCCCGTGATGCCAGGGCCAACCACTCATCCCCTTTGAAATAATCTGAAAGCGTAAGCCATTTTTGAGGCAAGTGAATGCATGCATGCTCTCAAAGGAAAATAATTTTCAGGTGGATAATAAATGGTATATACAACTGATGAATCCAAGAAATGAATGAAGTACCTCATCAACAAGTGGTTGTAGCTAGCTCGCTCTACCAGTCAATCTGCACAAAAAGGATTTGCAATTTTAGAAAAATGGATCCTTACACTCTATGAGCATCACATACCACTGGAGAAGATACTAGGACGTAATTACCAACTTTGATGACTTCCCAAAGGAGACATTTGTAAATGGAGTGGCTTTCTCTGGAGAGGATTTTGGTGGTGGGGCAGGTGATGGGGAAACAGCAGCTGCTACAGGAGCTGACTCATTCATAGGTTTAGTTGGAATAGGTGGTGCTGTTGTGGGGGAATACTGGACAAAGGTGCTTTTGTTGCCCCAACATTCCGTTTCATATGCATCTCAAAGTCTCCAATCTGTCATGAAATAACAAATAGCAAACAAGCTAAAGCACCATATCAAACGGCAATACATACAAAATGATAAGAACCCAAAGCTGGCCACTTGCAAGGCTTTACACCTAAAAATCTAATTGGTATTGAAACTTTTATCACTCATGATAAATAAATAAATTCTGATATTTAAAATTTAAGGAATTTCTAAGTGAACTATGAAGAAATTATGTCTTCCAAAAGGTCAAGCAAATCAGTCAATAACAAGGGTAAAAGAATCAACCTTCATTTTCAGCTCAGCAATATATCTGTCTCGTCACAGACCTCTAGCATCAATTCCTGATAAATTTGAAAATAAGAAATAAGCAAATCAAGCATCAACTAGAATCAGAGTAAAGCCAACATTTTCAGTCCAATATATCAAATGAACACCAAGATAAATTTCAATCAATATTCATCAAGAGATAATCACAAACATAATAGAAACTAAACAACAGCCTAATGAAGTTCAGAAAAAGACCACCTCCAGGAAAGTGAATTAAGTGGTGAACACATTAAGTTGGTAGATATTCAGCTGTTGATCTAATGCCAAAAAAGTTTAATTTTGCACTAAAGTTCACATGTGTAGTGGTCAAAGTCCATAAATAAACACCACTGCCTTGAGCAAACTAAATTCAAGCTTTTTTTTACATGCATCTTGATTCATCTCAGAATTCTTCTTGAACTTCCTAAGGTAACAATCACTCAGCAAAGAAAATTAAACTAGAAATGTGTTTGCAGTTCAGAAAAAAAAAAAAAAAACCTAGAAATGTGTTTACTATGATCGCAAACCATTAACAAAAGTGCATGCACAACAAGAATCATCATGAATTATTTCTTTAGTATTGACAAAAAATTAGTGAATCACTCTCAAAGATAGGAAGGAATCCTTAGACCATTTTTGTATTCCATAACCAGTATAATGGTAAGTTTGAATTGAATACAACAAAAACCAATGTGACAGAGATTTATCCCTAGCACAGTGTCACAATTCAATTACAGTCAATTGTTGCATTTCTCCCAAAAAAAAAAAAAAAGAACTGCAAAGAATGCTTAAACTTAAACTAGACTAGATATAATAAACTCACCACTGGACTTGGCCGTCACAGTAGATTCCGGTGTCTTCACTTATGTTATTAGAGAAGAATTTGGCTTCCCACCAGCCACTAAGCCAGAGACGTGCAATGTTTTTAGAGTGCGCCAGTTGCCATTGGGCACATGAATTGTAGCAGGCCTTTTGTGTAAAAATCGTGACTGTGAAACTGTGCTTAGAGGACCTGAAATTTAATAACAGCGTATAAGCTTCCAATTTGGAAGATGAAGGCTTCACAGGACCTAAAATCTGTATCCACTTCCTTGTTCTTAATACAAATTAAATTCACCAATCTAACCATTTTAAGAAACTAACTGCTTGCCAGCCATTTAACATTTCAAATAGATGCAAAGCTAATCCATAAGAAAACAAAACATAAAGTAGATCTTTCCATCTCCAGTTCAGAACTCCAAAATTTAAACCGAATTACTTAAAATAGAACTACTAAAAACAGAAAAGGAAAATAAGAGAAAAGGCATCTATTAAAGATTTTTCTAAATTCTCATATGAAATGCATAAAATTGTAATGCCCGTTTCAGTTCACACTAAGATCTCATTACCTTTTACTCATATTATATCAACTTCGGGGATGCCACGGGTGAGAGTCCAGTAGTCTCCTGCCGCCTCAAAGCACTGTCGTTTTAGATGCGGGCACCACTGGATGTGTAATCGTCGAAGTGAGGGAGGGAAGGCTTCCCTTGGCAAAGATCGTAGCTTTGGGCAGTCCATTATCCATAAGTATCGAAGGGAGCTTAGGTTTTGGAATAGCACCCCAGGTATGGATTCCAAATTTTCTTCGTTCCAAATTGAAAGAGAGATTAAAGAAGAAGGCAGCACAATATCCAGAGGGAATTTCTGCTCAATTGTCAAGTATCCAAGAGAAATAAGGTTTTGGAGGCCCATCGTCGAAGCCTGACCTGAAAGTGATAGATTCTGAAGCGATGTGAGTTGGTACATTGTATTCGGCACACACTTGAGATTCTTACACCCTAAGGAAAGCTTTGTTAAGTTTGGGGGCAAACCCCCATCTGGAATGAACTCGATGCTGGGACAGTCTATCATCTTTAGTTTTTGAAGAGATTTCAACTGATACATCGTATTTGGGAGGGATTTGAAATTCTCACACCTTTTTACCACCAACTTCTTAAGATTGGGGGTGCATAACCACAACTCTTCTGGTATGGACTCTAAAACTTCACAGTGGTAAATATGTAAATTAATGAGATTGCTGACATAATCAAGGTTGGGTAAACTTTTCAATATTTTACAATTCAAAATAGAAATGGATTGGAGTCCCGTACAATTCTGCAACATTCTCTCTGGAAATGATTCCAACCACTTGCCACCCTCAGTAACTGTAAATTTCTTGAGAAAAGCTGGTAGCTGATGACAACTACCCTGAGAAGAATACAAACATGGAAGATTATATATTTCCAAATGTAGATTGTCACCATCAGCATCTGGTAAAGACTCAAGCCCTTTACAATTATCTATTCTCAAGTGTTTAAGCGAGGTGGGTAATTTGCCTCTTGGAAACGACTTGAGAGAATCACAATTAAGAATTTCCAACCTTTCTAGTCTCAACATCAACATATTAGTGTTGCTGCTACTGCTCCCATCCATCCTCATCATCATTGCATCGGGTAATGACTCCAAAGCTCTACAATTCTCAAGCCTAAGATGTTTAAGATTGAAAGGCAAGAGGCTTTGTTCTATTTTTGTCCCTTCCTCCCACAAACAAGTAAGATCATTGCAATTTACAATATGCAAAGTCTCAACTACTGTCATAGACTCTGTAAAACTCTCAGGCAAGTAAGTCAATTTTGCAATATCCAGTATTATTAAGTCAGTGAGGGAAGTGAAATCAACCATGCTCTTCAAAAGCACCCTGTTGCAGCGTCTAATAGACAACTCTTTCAATGATGGAAGACTCATGCTCATAGGTAAGCAAGTCAGTTCTGAAATTTTCTCATGCTCAATTCTCAAATTAGTAAGAGAGGGGACATCTCCCATACTCTTCAAAAGCTTCCTATTGCAGCTTCTAACATCTAACTCTTTAAGTGAAGAAAGGTTGCTGGGTAATTGTCCTAACAACCTAGGACAATTTTCAATCACAAGCTTATGAAGACAAGGGAATTCACCTGCACTTCCAGCTGGAGAAGACCATTCCTTCCACTCTGGCATGTTTCTAAACACCAGTTCAGCTAGTGATGGAAAAGAGCCATGCTGCCCATAAAACTCAGAACCTATAGCTTCTATTGAACCCATTCCTTCAATAATCAATTCTTTTAAAACAGGTAGTAGGCCGAGTGATGGTAACAAAGTGCATCTCTCACAATTGCTGAGCTGCATGGATGATAAATTCAATAATAAAAAAGGATCACAAACCCAGGGAGGGAAATTCTCACCACCATAGCAAGAAATTTTGAGACTTTTCAAATTTGAATGAGGTTTTAACCAATTGAGGACTTGCGTTTTACGGACTAATTCATCTCGATCATTATCAAAAATAATCCACCCCAGATTAAAATCAGAAGTCCACTTCAAGTCTAACTCTTCCAAACCATGGATCTTGTCTAGGTTGGCCTCCCTAGCATCTTGGACATCCAAAACATTCTGCAAATCTAGAATAGATAATCTTCCTCGAAGTTGCGACAAGTTCTTCAAATCAGATAATCTCGTCATCATTCCACTTGCCTTCCCCACAATGAATTTGGACAATGTTACAAGATTTTTAAGATTGCCTATTCCTGATGGCATCTCTTTTAAAGATGGTGTATCAGTGGTATCAAGATGATGGAGATCAATTAGATTCCCAATTGTCATAGGCAACTGACTAAGCTTTCTACAACCACATAATAGTAGTGTTTATAAGAAGAGAAGAGAACCCACCGATTCAGGTATACATTCAATACTTGTACTAGACAAATCAATGTACCGAATATGTTTCAAATTTTGAAAAGATTCTAGTAACTCGCTTATCAGATAGTGGCAAAGAGATAGCACTCTTAAGCGATTTAATGTTGGTAGGAAATCATGCAAGATTCTTTTAGACAAATACTGCCCAATGTTGTCGGGACCACAGAGTGGCAAGAATGTTTTCAAATGCTTCAATTTATCCAAGACTGTGAATCTCTCTGAGATTTCATAAGAGTGTGGAGTAAATGACAAATGACGAGCTTTCGCTAATTTTTCATCACCCATGCTACGTTCAAGATTGCAATATATTTTTCCAGCAACATTTACAGCTAAATCATTTATGAGGTCATGCATCACAAATCGTGATTTATTTGTACTTGATTGCTAAAAGAGTGATTTGGACAATAATTCATGGAAATATTGATGGCCAATCTCCTCTTCCACTTGCTTCTTTCCACATGACTGTTGCTGCAATAAGCCCTCAACCATCCATAATAAAACCAGCTCCTTTTCTTTAAATTCATAGTCTTGAGGGAACAAAGCACAATAAGCAAAGCATCGCTTCAAGTAAGAAGGAAGATGATTGTAGCTCAATCTCAGAGCAGGAAGAATTCTACTTTCATCTTCCGATGAACTCCATATATCACTGTTTAATACATTTTCCCACTCATCACGACACAGCTTTCCCCGCAAGATGCCACCAAGTGTTTTTAGTGCTAATGGCAATCTTTTGCACCTCTTAACAAGCTTCTCACCAACATCTTGTAGGTTTGGGTGCGCATCAAAGTTCTCTTTTCCCAGTGCATGTCGTGCAAATAGTGGCAAACAAGCATCATCTTGTAGCAATTCTAAATTGTAAACTCCATCATCTCCTCTCATCATCGTCCCAACATCCTTATTTCGAGTTGTGACAATTATTTTACTTCCAGGAACTCCTGACATGAAAGGTCTATTCAAGACATCCCACCTGCCATATTCCTTATTCCAAACATCATCTAATACAAGAAGAAATTTGTGCCCAGATAACTCCCTTTTCAATTCCTCTTGAAGTGAACTAAAATCAAGTGAACTAAAATCATCAAAAACACACTTTTTCTTAGTTACCTGTTCCAAAATGGTTCTTGTTATTCGAGCAACATCAAACTCATCAGAAACTGAAACCCATGCCTTCAAGTCAAACTTGCCTTCTAGTTTTTTATCATTGTAAACAAGCCGAGCAAGAGTTGTCTTGCCTAGTCCACCCATTCCGACAATGGGAATAACAAAGTCTTGTTCAAGACTACCTCCATCTTTTAGCAACCTCTGAACAATAGCATCTTTATCTTCATCTCGACCCCACACCTTATCTTCAAGAACAAAAGACTCAGATAGTCTTTTTGCAACTACTTTGTGAGACCTATCTTCAAGTTTCAAAGCCAAATTGATCAGGCCCAAAGTACGCATCCCATTTTCAATTTTTTGCAATCTACCGCTCAAATCCATCACCATGGAATTAATCTCTTGATTGGGCTTAGCCTTATTAGAGCTAAAAAAATTCTTGACACCAGAGATGATTCTTTGTTGCTTGCTAGGTCTGGCTTTAGATTCTGCAATCAATTCAGACCTCTTGGCATCAATCACAAACTCTTCGAGTATGTCCTCCATATCATAAGCCAAGTCCCTGAGATCATCAAGATATGACTTCACAAACTGGTTGGCAACTTGATTTTCTTCTGCATGTTGAAGTAGAGCAGTAATTTTGGGCAATAGAGTCATCCAACTTTCCATCTGGGCATGTATTTCCTCCTTTGAATCCCATAGTTGATCACTTAGATATTCCTTTAACTTTTCGAATAGCAAGTCAAATATAGCATATAAAAAAGAATCTCCAACACGAGATAAGACTTCCATTGGAACTTTGTTAATGTTCCCTACGTCTAGCCCTTCGTTAGTGGCAAACTTGGGGGAGGGCATGGCACTCGGTAAAAGCACTTTCTCTAGATCGATAGACTCAATGGCAGAGCTAAAGGAGGAGCTGGGCCTAAAATATTAAAAAAAAGTTAAGTTTTCTTATAAAATAAAAAAATAGTGCATATGTTAATTATGAGGTAAAACAGGCAAATCTAAACTTAATTGTCAATTATATTGTAGTTTAATCATCAACTAAATCCATTATTTCTTTTTTTTAATTCAAAATAAAACTCTTACCATTCAAACACTTTTAATTTCTTTCTTTGCGACGTTCTTTGGCAGTTACTTATTATTGTAATGGCTAATTGTTTTGGATTTGGACTTTTAATTACTTATCATTTAACTTTTAATTTTCTTAAAGTATAATTGCTAATTGATTATACTGCGTGATGTCTAATGTTTGATTGAATCATAGTTAATAACTTCAAGTTATATTAATCATCTTTTTATCTAGTTCTATACCTATTCTATGATTATTTGTGAACTTTGCCATCAAATATTTAACTTTGGGTTTAAGTTTTATATTTATTTTTATATTAATCCCATATAAGGCAAATCTAGACTTGTATACTTAATTTAATTTAATTTAAATTAATTTATTTTATTTTATTTTATAATTTAATTTATTTCCACAAATTACCCTTATTTCTAAAAAGGCTTTAACGAATTAATTTGTGATTTTTTTTCTATTTACTATTTTATTTGTTATTATTCTCTTTTTTTTTATTTTAAAATTTTAGAATTTGAGTATTTTACATATTAAATTATAGTACTTAAGTAATTTCAGTAGAAGAACTAAAGTTAATTTCATCTTTTTCTCCTTTATCATTACTTTTTTATATATGTTATATTTTGTCATTGTTGTATTTTGTTTTCCTTTGTTTTCCATTGCTTTTAGAATACTTTTTATTTGCAATTTATATATTATTTTAATAATAAAAAATTAATCATAGATCGAACTACCCTTTTTAATTATTTAAAAGAAATTATAACTTTTAATTTATAGTTTTGCACGCTCTAACCTTGAATTCTGGCGACGCCGCTGGGTGGACAGACTTTCTTCAGAGACGATGGCAAAGGAATTTAAGTTGTCGAGGCCTCGCAGTCGCATGTCTTGAAGAGAAGGTTGACCTTTCAACTGATGGCAATGTTCAATTTTCAGCTGTTGAAGAGAATGGAGGTTTTCCAACCACTGCGGCAGATCTTCTAGGCTACCAAACCTCGATATGTTCAATTTCTTGAGGGCAGTGAGATGTTGCAACTCATCTGGCAAGTAATTTAGTTTATCCCATCCTTCCAAACTCAAAGATTCAAGAGAGGCATGGAGGTCAGGAATGGAAGAGAGCCCAGGAAATTTCTCCAAATTCGACCAGAAAGGACCCATTCGCAACTCCTTTAAGTTGGTGAGGCCACCAAGCCACTCATGTGAAATGTCTCTTACCATATTCATTCCACAAATGTAAAGAACCTGGAGACTAGGCAACAGTCCAAGACTAGGAATCTTTTGAAGATGACTGCACTGCATAACCTTTAAAGTCTGCAACAAGTAGAGCTCGGAGAAAGATCCTGCAGGTAATGTTTCAATTTTGCTTTCAGCTATTTCAAGGTATTTTAATTGTTTCAATTTCCTGAGAGAAGCAAGCAATACTTCTGTTTTAGCTCTGACTAATTTTAAAGATCGCAAGCCTTTCGGATCTGATTCCATGTTAATGGTAAATTCGCCCTCCAAAAACAAAGAATGCAACCTCTGAGAAATACCTCTAGGAATGGCTGGATGCACTAACCCGTCATGCTTGATTCTCAAATTGCGAATGGTAGAAGTCTCATCAATATTGGAACCATTCTCCCAAATCAAAGTTACAGCATTCGAAACAGCCAGAGCAAGATCATGCACTACATCGTGCATTTTGCAAGATTCAACATTGCCACAAGCATCCCTTCTCACATCTTGGAATAGGGAATTGGATACCAACTCATTAAAGTACTCATTTCCAATATCCTCCATTGTCATAGGGCTTTCACCAGATATTTGTTGAAGAAATCCTCCGGCCTTCCATAGTTGAATTAAATCATCTTTTCTAATTTCAAAATCTTTCGGAAAGATTGAACAATAAGAAAAGCATTTTTTCAAAGTTGAAGGCATACAATCGAAGAATCTCATTTTTAATACAGATAAAACTGTATTGTTTCTACACTCAAATTGATTGCTCCATGTTCCTCCGATGGCAGATGCAACCAATGGCAAGCCACCACATTGTTTTGCAACCAGTGGCAACCAATGCTTTGAAGATATCAAAGCATTTGCAGATGATCTCAGAACTACCTTCTCAATTATCCCCAAACATTCATCATCAGATAGACTCTGCAAATCATATCTACAAATAGGAAACTCTTTCCCTAGCACAGATGCTACAGTTTCACAACGGGTTGTTAGGACAGTAGAGTTCCCATTGGTTTTCACAATATTTGAAAAACTAGATGCAAAAACAGTCCAGTTGTGAGCATCTCTTTCCCGCACATCATCAAGAATGAGAAGAAAAGTTTTGTTTTCTAGTTGGTGACCTAGATCATGAAGCAGTGCATCAATTGTATTATTTTTATTTGGACGGACATGAAAATACTCTAACATCTCACCCAAAATTCTTTGACGATTAAAATCCTCAGATACACACACCCAGGCTACTACATCATAGAGCTTTTCTTCCTTTGCCTTCATATAAACTGACCTGGCTACTGTTGTCTTTCCAACTCCTGCATTACCTACTATTGAAATGCCAGAGATTGGATGTTGAGTCTTTTGGTCATTCAGCAGTTGACAATTTTTGAGACATCATCCTCCCTTCCAACAACTTCTGAAGAATCAAGAAGGTGGACCATCTCATCATATGGCCAAGCAGTTGCACTGTTTTGCTCTCCAAGTTGGATAATGAGATTAATAAATACCACCTTTCTAATTTCAGCTAAAGATTCATTAATCATCTTAAATTTTTTAGCCATAGAAAAGAAGGCGTGCACCTGTTTCTGCCTCCGGATTGAAGTCTGAACTTCCTTCTGAAGAACCAGTATACCGTAATCACACTTGTCAAGCAAATCCAACGCATCATAAACAGCATCGTTGAGCTTCTGCAACCAAAGCCTGATGGCCGCATCACTTTCTTGCCTCTGCTCGGCGTGTCGTGCAACATCTTGAATTTCAGTTAGCGACGGATCAAGACCTTCCAACTGCTTCTGCAGAACAGGGGCAAAGCCGACCTGCCCAGCGATTGACTTTGCTTTGAAAAGTGCCTCAGGTATAAGAGGACTGATGAGGATAATGCCGGTATCAGCCATATTATGCAATCACAATTGAATTCTGAGAGAGATTCTAGGGCTGTGAATTGTGAGAGATATTGAGGGCAGCAAGTTGAATATGGGACTTGGAAGGTTGCGTCAATTTAGGGAAATGAAATGCAAATGAAGATGCATTAATTTCGGAGGCATTTCATTTGGATGAGACCATTGACCCCGCTTAATAGGATAATAGTTTTCCAACTTGAAACGTCATTCTAAGATGGTCTCATTCTAAGATAATAGTTTTCCTTTTAGGTTAAATACCTGGTTCGGTTCCTCAACTTTTATTTTTGAACTAAATTTACCCTCAAACTTCAAAAAGTACTAAAAAAATCCTTAAACTTTAATTTTCGAAACCAATTTCGTCCTTCCGTTGACGAAAGTGCTAGATGGCACGTTAAGTTGCCACGAAATCAATTTTTGTTTGAAATCTTTAATTATGTGAAAAATAATTTAATTTCTTGTTGTCCACGTCATTTTAATTAATTTATATATTAAAAAATTTAAAATTTCTTAAATACCCCATCTTCATCTTCCATCCCCTCTTTTTCTCCCTTCTCATCTCTCTCTATCCTCAGATGTCTCCTCATCTTGCAACCCAATCAGCACCGATCATCCCTCATTGCTCCGGTCATCCCTCATTGCTTCGGTCATCCCTCATTGCTCCGATCATCCCTTACCACTCCAATCACCATCTCCTTCTTCCCCAAACCTCCTCTCTAATAGAACCCAAATCTGGTTTCTCGCACAATAATAATGACAAATAGATCTGATTCAAAAAATCAATTACTCTGCAAATGTATACCAGATCTGTAAAGAAAAATGTAAAAAACACAACATCCCTTCAATCAACACCAACAGTAACTAGATCTTAAAATTCAAGCAAGCAGAAACCACACAAAACTCTAAATCTCATACCAAGATAGCCAAGCATGACTGCAGCCAACAAAGAAACAGAAGAAAAAACCTAGGCGGGTTCGACTCAAACCCAGGCCCTGGGTTCGGAACCCAGGCGTGCTCTCAGCGCCTAGGTTCGAGGAACCCGCACCTAGCTTCAATCCAGCATGCCTGGGTTCGAGGAACCCACACTTGGGTTTGAGGAACCCGTGCCTGGGTTCCATCGAACCTAGGAGAGTTGGGTTCCTCGAACCTAGGCCCTGGGTTCGAGGAACCCAGGCGCTGGTGCTGGGTTCCTTCGAACCCAATATGGAGGGGAAGGAGAAAAGGGAAGAGAAGGAGGGAAAAAAAAAGGAAAGGAAAGAAAAAAGAAAGAAAGGAAATTTTTATTTATTAAATTATATTTTTGGTGTCAAGTCATAATATTTTTATAATTAAAAATGCCACTTCACTTATTTTATTTCCAGGTAATATTCAATATTAATAAAAATTGAATTTGTTAACGGGGAATTTTGCCATGTCAGCACTTAATTGACAGAAGGATAAAATTGATCTCAAAAATTGAAGTTCAAGGATTTTTTAAGTACTTTTTGAAGTTTGAGGGTAAATTTAGTTCAAAAATAAAAGTTAAGGGACTGAACCGGGGATTTAACCTAATTTGTTAATGCCACAGCATTTTGTTTTGTTTGACTATTTTACCCCTATTTGACTCCTTTTATTTTTTTTCCCTTTCTATGAAAAAAAAAAAAAAATAGAGAAGAGAAGAGATCTGGAAACGAAACAGAGTGCTTCCCTTCCTCTCTTTTCGTTTTCTTCCCCTCCGTAATTGATAAAATGCTAATTTGGTGTGAATAAATATTTAGTTAATTGAGGTTTGTTTATGTTTTTCCTATTAAAGACCACTGTAATATCAGTTTAGTATGGAATGAGATTAATCAAATTTATTCCTTTAACTTTCTCTTTTATGTGTTCTTCTTTTCCTCACAAAAAGGATATGGAGATGCATGATGAGTAGTTCCCCCGAGAGAAAGGTTAATTAATGGAGCTATAAAATTTCGCTGTCTCTTGATTTGATGATGATTATAAGGGGTGGTGATGATCTGTGGGGATCGCTCATTACTGGTAGGAAAGGATGAAAGCTTGAAGCAAACTTTGTGCTGCCTGGGTTCGCTCTGGTGTTCCAGATATAACAACAGTTCCCTCACTTTCACCAGGACGAGGATTATGAACTTCAACTTTTGCACCTGAAATCTGATTTTTTTTTTTTTTTACCAGCACACATAAATAGATGCCCAGGACAAAATATACAATTCAGAGAAAGTATAATAACAATTCAAGTGATGCTTAGATGTTAGTGTTTCTGGATTGAAAACGATAATTACCTGTCTAAGATGAGCCAGATTGCACCCATCTTTGCCATAAACGCAGCCAAAAACATCTTCCGGCACAATGATTTCTACTGTAGTATTTTTCACAATAGCAGATTTCTTACCACTGCAGAAACAACTGTAATTGACAGTCAGAAAAAATTGTTCGATAGGATTAGGATGTTGTGATTCCTTTTAACATTAAATTCTGTTTATACTTGAGATCTTGATAACATCAGTGATGAGTTCCTTTTTCCAAACAGCATAATAGACCCAAGCTACCATCATTACTCCAACCATTCTTAA